TAGCCTGAGACGCGGCTTTGCCAGCCCCCTATTGGGCCGCCCCTCTGCGCAGCGCTAGCCAATGAGAGTGGTGGTATGGAACGCGGGCGGTTTCCATGGGAGCGCTGGAAGGAGGAGGGGACGGAGGTTACCTAGCAACCGGGAGATGCTGCGAGGCCGCGCCAAGCAGTCAGAAAGTGCATTCTCCCTGAGCCTGAGGAACCCGCGTCGACGACGGATCTCAGACAGGGGCGATTGCTGGTTGCCACCTTAAAATACCCAGGGGCTCTAGGCCCCAACCTAATCATGACGTCTCCCCTGTGCTGGGGTGCGTCAACCAACGTCCTGCATGCTCAGGACCAGGCTTCGACCTCCTCCAATGTCAAGAGCAGTCCGACTCGGGCCAAGCACCGCCGCCCCCAAGGCAAGGGCGCTGCCCACGCCTGGCTCCCACTCCATTCCAAGGCGGGACCCCTCCACACCGGCGGGGGGACGTCCACTGTGAACGCGCAGGTGGCAGAGTTACAAAAGAAGGTACAAGTGTTAGGTAAGATGGCTCGAAAGGGCACCAAGAATCAGGAGTCAACAGTGTCCACCCAGCCCTTCGACCAGGCACGGTGTGACAAGGGCCTTTCCCCGGCCTTCATCCAGGTGACCAGCTTCTGGAGGCAAAAATCCGTACTCGTTCGTGTTTTCCTCATCCCTCTTATAAAATCTTCCCTGGGCCCAGAACCAGCTGGACTGTGGTTCATACTTTTAGGTAATTTCAACTCCCATCACGCACAGAGCGGTGAAGAACATAGATTCTAGAGCCAGATTTTCTGGGTTCAAATCTAGGCTCTGCGCACGCTGTTTGATCTTGGGGGACTGTGAGTAACCTAATAGGTCTCAGTTTCTCTGTTCGTAAAATGGGGATAGTAAGAGTACAGCACCCCAGATAGTTGAAATGTATAACGTGCTTAGGACAGTGCCTGGCACATTAGTAAAGCACTCTAAAGTGTAAACCAATGTTTTTCTTTTTTTTTTTTTTTTAATATTTTTTTTAACGTTTATTTATTTTGAGACAGAGAGAGACAGAGCATGAACGGGGGAGGGGCAGAGAGAGAGGGAGACACAGAACCGGAAGCAGGCTCCAGGCTCTGAGCCATCAGTCCAGAGCCCGACGCGGGGCTCGAACTCACGGACCGCGAGACCGTGACCTGGCTGAAGTCGGACGCTTAACCAACTGCGCCACCCAGGCGCCCCTAAACCAATGTTTTTCAATGGAAGAGGGCTATTTTGCTCCCAAATGGACATTTGGCAATGTCTGGGGACATTTTTGGTTGTCACATTGTTGGGAGGGGGGTGCTACTGGCATTTAGTGGGTAGAGGCTAGGGATACTGCCCAACACGTGACAGTTCATGGGACAGCTCAAAACAAGTAATTATCCACCCCAAATGTCAGTCGTGCCAAGGTCGGGGAATCCTGACATACACCATTAGCATTATCGTTTTGTTATTATTAGAAGGTTATCTTGCACAGTAGTTGAAGGAATGGGTTCTGGAATCCGACTTTCTGTAACCTTGAACAATCTAGTAAGCCTGAGCCTCATTCTTCTCATCTGTAAATGGGTATGATATGGGGGCACCTGGGTGGCTCAGTCAGTCAGGCACATGACACTTGGTTTCAGCTCAGGTCATGATCTCACCGTTCGGCTTCGGGCTCCGTGCTGACCGTTCAGGGCCTGCCTGGGATTCTCTCTCTCCTCCTTTCTCTCTGCCCCCCGCCCCGCTCATTCTCCCTCTCTTTCTTTAAGTAAATAAAAACTTTTTTAAAATGGGTATGATATGGATATGAATACATACCTATTGACATATGGTATTTGATACTCGGAAAGTTCTTTGTCCGGCATCCAACGTAGAATAAGAGCTCCAACTGAAGTCTAGTTACAATATTAAGTCGATAAGAAGAGGAAGGGCTTCCCTCTGGGAAGCCCTCCACCCCCTGTGACACTGACTGTGTACCTCACATGACTCAGAGGGTGACCGGAAGGCCTTTTATGAGAGCACCCAGTGGACCATCAAGAAAAATCAGAAGACCATCAGCCAGCTCCACGAGGAGACCAGGACTCTGCAGCTGCATTTGGCGGACCTGCTCCAGGTGAGGCTGCCGAAGTGGACGAGAGGGTCCCAAGAGGCAGGGCGGCACCCCGAGGGGCAGGTGGGCTGGGTGTGTGGTGACTGAGCTCCCCTTCCTGCAGGGAGATGAGAAAATGGTCCAGGCAGTGATTCGGGAGTGGAAGTCAGAGAAGCCATACCTGAAGAACAGGACAGGACAGGTTTGTCCCACCCCACTCCACAGACCATCTGCCCTCA